CCGATGCGCGCCATTTGCTTATTCGCCCGTCGGCCATGCCCGACCATTCACAATAACCCCTCGCGCGCATCAACCACCCAACATCCACCCCTTGCGCGCGACTTCGCCAAACCATCAAGCGCCATGCGCATCTACGCCAATGCGCGTGTGCGCGCCCTTCTTGAATGCGCCCTTTCTTGTGTACTTGTGCGCCTCGCATACGAGCTCGTACCCGTCTCTTACGCCATGCATGCGTCACTTTGGCCCTATTTTCAGCCTCCTCGGGTTGTCTTGGCTCTCGGCCCTTCTTGTCGTCGGGGGTCAAAACCCACTTACGCATCACCCCTCTCCGGCGTATTGCAGGTCACCAGAGCTCGAAACAGATGACCGTTCGTGGTGGTGCGTGCCGGTTTAACCCGATCTAAAGACAATTTGCGTATCGATGTTGATTGAGCTTCTTAAAAAGACAATTAAATTTCAAGATCTAAAGTGTGAAAATGAGAGCATGTTATTTTCTAATGATATAAGTGATTTATTTTAAAATAATGTTGCCTACTTTTTCATACAAGACCTTCACAATATAAATTCTGAAATATATTCCATAACGGCAAGTAGTCAGATGGAAAAAACATACTAATCCTCATTTTTCTGCAGAGAGCACAAAGATCATAACATTACCAGAATGGAGGGTCAAATGCTTTCTGTACATGGATGATATGCTGAGGTATCACCACAAAATTGATACAACTTGGTCTCCGCCGTTCGTTTTCTCCAGTGAATTGAGAAATAATTAGAGGACTAAATATAAGTCATCTTTGCTGCATATATGTGAGAAGAGATACAAGTTGCTTTTCCTTCACAAATCACAATATCCATCACAACATTCATCAATTGAAAGAAACACATGAGTTGCTCAGTGTTCTGTAAACTTTGAATGCCAAGGAGTTTACTGTGTGTTATTAAGTAAAAAAACAAGTTGTTAGATCACAGATTTAACGTTTAGCACGCATTAAATGATTCCTCACCCTCATACTATGTAACATTATTCATTTTAATTGGTTAGTGAGAAAAAGGACCATTTGCATAGATAAGCTTTTTTACTCATGCCTTTTCATACAAAAAGGCTTACTATGGTTCATTTTGGAAGCTGCGGATAATAACTTAAAGCCCGACAGCAATCCCATACCAAGTAATCCTACAGTTTCTTACATCAAAAGCAACTCATTTCTACAACATAATGAAAAAGTAGGTCCATTAAGTTGACATACATCATCGTGTGATTATGTTGAGGCTGTTCGTTGGAGCTCGTCCATCAGTAAATGTGCAACAGATTTGTATCCCATCTCTCTCGCTGTTCTTGCACACAAAAAAATTTGAGACCGTAAGTTTAATTAACAACATAAACAAAATAAATAAGAACCAACTTTTTTAAATTATGTATACTTGACTAATATTCTTGATTTATATTGGTTAAGGTTGTTCAACATTCATATGTTCTTCCTTTATTTCTTATATACGAAAATTTCGTGGTTGGCACTTTGGAACTAACCTCTGAATATGGCTATTCCAGTTGGGACCATCTTTCGCTTCTTTAGACATAGCGAGCTGTTTATTTTCGACGTGAAATTTAACGGCAATGAAAATTTTATAAAGGAAAAACTAAAAAGATATTTGTAATGTGAGCTGAGCCTATTTTACAAGTTACCTGTTACATATCCAGTAAGGTTTGATTCCTTTGACTTCAATACAGTGTGGGCACATCCACTCTTTATTTGCTCTCACTTCTTCCAATTCTGCAAGATTTGTGCAACATCTTAAGGATTTATCACAGCTACACAGTTTTCGACTAATTTTAGATAACTCATATCTGCAAAAACTATCGTGGCCCGTATAGTCTAATTTCAACATTCTAGCGCGGCATTTCAAAGTTACAACTACCCATCCAATAGTTAACCAACAAATACCCTCTTTTCAACATTGCAAAATTTGTCAAACTATAAATTTAGATAACATTTTAGTGGCTTTTCATATTTCGACAAAATCTTAACGGGTAGTTTTGATAATCAGCCACCATTTTTTCTTCATTCTTCACAACCCAATCTGGCATATGGCTTACCTTCACCGTACCGGACCTTCAGACAGGCTCGGCATAGAATTCCATTTGAAGAATGACAATTAGAGCAATCCGTTTTCCCTGCAAGAAAAGTTCTTTTCGTGCAATACAATCGTGGCCTAATAATTTATATGATTGCGAAAAATAGTTGTGGATTAAAAACCAAACCTGTGCACGGCTGATCCATGTCTAAATCACCGCAACGTTTGCAATCTTCTTCACCACACAGTTTCTTTTGCCTAAAGTTTTTTTTGTCAAGCATTTGGCAAGCCATTAGTCACTGAAAAACTCAAAATCCCAATGGAGTTAAATTTAGATCCAACTAAACAATGACAAAAAATAAAAAATTGTACAGAAACATACAATCTTTGAGCACATGATGTAAGTAAGAAACAAGAATATGACATATAATATAACCTGCAAAAATGGCAGCAAATCCCATAAACAGGATGATACAAACTTCCTCTGCTTTTACTTTCACATCTTCTGGCCAAAGCTTCTAAAGAAATCTTATGCGTTTGCAAGCCCCTTTTGCCTCCCTTCTTTTCATTTTCATCGTCACTCTCATCATCGCCTTCTAAATAGCCCGACTTTTCTGCATATGCTTACACGTCGAAAATGGATAAAAAGAACCTCAAAGATCGTATCTTTATTCAAGCAATTTCCCCCAACGAAAAAGAAAAAAAATTTAAAAATGGTTAAGAGTTAATTATATTGTTAAAGACCACCTTGTGGTGGCGGTGTTTTTCCTCCCAACCGAGCCGAACGCCGCAGAGGGGTTGAACTGTGATCGACTTTACGGTGTTTTCTGACATGGGATTCATCAGATTTTGGTGATGAAGTCAAGGCCCGGAGCTCCGAAATGGTCTTCGCGAGCCCGAGAGAGGCCAATCGGGCCTGTTTGGTTCACAATCACAACAAGAAACTGGATCTTGAAATGCACTGCTGTTTTTACCCCATAAAGAACAATACAAAAAATAAAAGGAAAAAGAACAAGAACAAGAACAAGTAGAAGCAAAACCTGGTTTTCGGAAATACGAGCTTTTCGCAGATCTTCGTAATTGGATATTGATTTGATTCTACCCATTGCTGCTGTTTTTGTTCAAGATGAGGGGCTTTGTTTAGCTAGCTTTTCTTGCTGTAAGAGTAATAGGTCTGTGAGAAAAATTCTTTAGGCAAGTGATTTTTGAATCAGTGATGTTGAGTTTAGGGTTGGGCAATGGCCCCAACGGATCCTTGAAATTTGAATTTATGTGAAATTACAATTAGGGCCCTCTTCTATATTTTTCATTATTCTATCGGTGCGAATCGTTACAATATATACTAACAATCTATAAAAAAAATGTTTTACACTGGTGCTTTAAATAATTATTCTGAAATTTTAAAATTAGTGAAAAAAATTTAATTTAAATTTTATTTACTTTTTACAAAAATATATATTATTATATGGTCTATAATGATACTTGTTACTTGTGCAACTTAAACGTGTTATATTACAGTAATTTTTGTAACATATATCCAAGGTTTTAAATAGCGGGCTAAAACGTTTATGGCACTGTAGCTATAGCGGAACTATAGCGGAGATTTAGCGGGATTTAGCGGCTAAATTGCACATGAATACAAATAGCGGCACGCTGCCAAAAAAAGCTATTTCTCAAATAGCGGCAACTTTAGCGAGCTATTTATTTCCTTGCATATATCATATAACTACTTGAAATATAAATATATTAATTGATAAATACGAATTAATATTAAAAAAAAGTATTATTGTTATAATGATAAACATAATTTGTTTTTTTATACATACAATATGGATGTTGAATCGAAACTCATCAAGAAATGATTTTTTTTTTCGGGAACGAGTAGAGGATTTATATTAATAAAATCACACAAAGTGCGAAAAAAAAAAGCAGGCAAAAGCTAAATAGTACAAGCAGAGGCTATAAAACTAGGAGGCAGATCCAGAGATCTCCTAGAACCGGCTAGCAACGCTAGAATGACTAGTTGACACAAAAGCAACTAACACAATAACAATTAAGACAACTAAAAAAGATCAGGATAATACCTGAGTGTCTGATCCCAACAGGATAATAAGTTGACACTTGGATGCACTGAGACCAGTGTTTTAAAACGCGTATAGCGTAATGCGTCGCGTTTTGGTCTTTATACTGCGTAGCATAAATAGCGTTGCGTGTTGCGTAAGCTATTTGGGTATAACATTTTTTTTATATAAATATTACAAGTATGTTTGCATATAATAAAAATGGATTGTTGATTACAAAAATTATAATAGTATTTGAATGACTTAAAATATAACAGTGAAAGATTAATTCTCACAAATGTTTATGTAAATGTCATCATAATATAAATATTTAATAATAAATAGAATATATTAAAAAGTAAAAATAAACAACGAAAATATAATGAGGTAAGTCATTGTATAATTTAAAGTATATGCATTATTATTATTATTTATTATTTAATTACAACTTAACTCTAACCGTTAGATATGAACTTTTTATTTTTATTTAAATGTCAAATATCGAAAAATAAAATACAAAAATAGATAAAAAAATATTGCACTATTCAACTTAGGATTTTGCACTTTCAAACTTTTCATTTGAAATCATTATCAAAATTTTAGTTTTTAATTGTCTTTTTTAAATATGACTTTGATCCCTAAGAAATACAAGTTTTTGAATATTTTATTGTTCAAATGTCGTTGCGGAAATATAGCAATGTAGCGCACAATAGCGTGAATAGCGCAAAATAGAGTAAGAAAGTGTGCCGTTTCATCATTTCGCGTAAGCTTTTCGGGAAAAACGCTAAATATATAAGGCTACGTCACGTTTTTCTGGAAAAAAAGCTATATAGCGAGCTACATAGCGAGCTATTTAAAACAATGACAGAGACCAAATGGCCCAAACTAAAATCACAAACCTAAACAACACGAACACAAAACAAGAGAACAAACTAAGAAAGAGGGACCTAATTTACTAACAAACAAGGCCCTTCCCCATCGGGGAAGCCAAACCCAGCACAAGGCACCGTCGAAATAAGGACAAACCATCCCATGACTTCGCCCAAATTCCAGAACGCCGCTCCCACCACTGCCTAATACCTACCAAAGGACGACTCTCGAACCTCGAACCACTCCGAGGATGAAGTCGACCCATAGCCGGAGGAGAATCGACTAGCCCCCCCTCC